TCTCCATCAGATGCTTGAGGTATTTAAACTGTTTGCAAATGTGTACACACACAAGCATTAAAATTTTTATGAAAAAGTAGGATCAAAACCAAAGACATGCAAGAGGTACAGCACATGATATTTAATTCACTCTTTAATGCAAGTGATACCTTGTGTGTGTAAAGTGCCATTGAGTCTCAGCCAATTTATGGTGACCCCACAGGGTCTTCAAGGTAAATGGTTAAGCAGAGGTGGTTTGCCATTGCCTTCCTCTGCAAGATCTTCCTTGGTGGTCTCCCATCCAAGTATAGACCCTGCTTAGCTTCCAGGATCTGATGAGATTGGGCTATACTCTACCATTCTACACCCCCAAGTTACATTTTAGCAGGGACCAATCCAGATTATCTATTCAACTGGCAAACTGAATCACTTCTGTCAGAAGAAAAAGCCACCCTGAGCCTGCCTCGGTGGAGAGGGCGGGGTATAAATTGAATAAATACATAAATACATAAAATTAAAGAACTCGAGGTTTGAGAAATTGAAACCATTGTGGCATAGAGGCCAGAATCTGGAAGACGCATGTTCAAATCCCTAGTCCACCATGAAGGTCACTTGGTGAGAGTAGATGATACTCTCCCAGGCTGTGGTCACAGGAGCAGTTTGCCGCAGCAGTATATCAGCTCTAAATAAACTGCTTGAGTTTGGGACGTTTTGCATCAATCACACAGCGGCCACTAAGCCAGCATCATAGTACTGCAGGGCCGTGATACATTGGCAATGTGCTGCAACCATGGACGTGGACCGCCACCAGGGGTCCGCGACACAGGTAAAAGCTTGGATCCTAGAACAATGGAAACCTTGGATCCTGGATCCCCCAACCCCAACGAATAGCCACTTTGGTGGGACATTCAAACCCTCCAATGGGAATGGGGGGTTGCTGGGTGGATATGTATATAGTTGGCCTGCCGGCCGTTAGAGTTAGTCTTTGTCTGTGTTAAGTACAATAAACGTGTGCTATAGCATGTCATCGTCTGAGTCCTCCATGCGGCAAACCCAGTACTTTTCAGGACCCTCAGGCATTTCCATCGTGCACCTGGGCAATCAGACGCCCGGAAACCCACCATGGAAGCACCTCACCGAGGTGGCCACTGGAATTTGTCAGTGGCTATTTAATCCTCATGGGAGTCATTTTAGTGTGAGATAGGGATGACTGGGGCACAGGAGCCAGAGGTGCGTGTTTAATCGCACCCATTTGATCCGGAGGGGAGGGGTGGCTCTGTCTGGCCAAACTGCTCATGTGATCACACCCCCAGTCTCACCTGCCTCTTAGAGAGGAGTTGTGAAGATAAAAGAGGGAGGGAGAGCCATGTATGCTGATCTCAGAAAGAAAAGTGGTATAAAGATATGGTAGGCAGAAAGAACAAGCATGTCTGAGCCCACAGAATTGGTTTCAGCTAGCACAGTAAGAGGCCACCTTGGCGGGTTCAGAGCAAAATACCTTGCACTTTTTAAATTTGAAGACTGCCTCCAGGTGAATTAATCTGAGCAGGGCAGCAGTAACATGGTATTTAAAGAAAACACTGTGTTCAAACGTGGGAAGAATGTGGGGTACTAAAGAGATGGAGCCTCTGAAGGTCCCTAAAGAACCACAGCAGAATCATAGCTATATTACTAAATATTGCAGGACTAGAAGCAATTGGTGTTTTTTTGTTTTGTTTTTTAATAGCATGCAATCAAGCCAGACTGAGAGGGCAAGCCATGATACGGTTGTGCAATGCTGCATTCCAAAGAAAAGTGAGAGGGTGGATATAAATTTCACAAGAGGGGTCCAAGAGAAGACCAGTCACTTGAAGAATCTAACATAACTTGAAGCCAGTGAGTCAGAGCACCAGTTATGGGCAGTTTACCGACTCCATGAGAAGAGAGCATATTGCAATTGGCATTAGAAAGAACCAAGGCCGCAAGACAGACTTTTAGAAAACACGGATCTCAATTTAGACAAAGTGGTTACAATGTGCCAGGCAGCTAAGATTATCAGCAGCAGGCTAAAAATTAGAGAAAGAAATCCAGATCCAATTACTGTAAAAACAGACACCAGAATGCAGAAGGGACTGCATACAGAAAGCAAGCCAGAAAGTCTGCCACGAAGACAATGGGAAAAAATGAGCCAGGAAACAGAGCAAGGAGATGCAGAAGGTATGGCTACATAAACACAGAGAGACTATCACAATAACTTGAACTGGTTTAAAGAGGAACAATGCTGTTTCTATAGTCTGCAATCAGAAGCAGCAAGTCTAAGAGAGAAAACTCGTTCAGATGCAGGGACAACCTATGGCTCAGAGTTGCATGAGAGATCCTTGGGGGCTCATATGTTCTCTTATTTGCAGCCAGTACATGTGAACAGCAACCTATGGTTTATCACAAACCAGGAAGCAGAGAGAGGGAGGGAACAGGAGGAGAGGGTGGTGACCCCAAGGTTTGACTACTACCTCTGAACTGACTACACATAACCCCAAAAGAGACAGCATTGCGGAAGAATTCCATACAAGTGCTGAGTCTGAGAAGCTATCTGTGCATGACACAAAACACTTGCTGTCTTCTGTAAGGATGACTATGGCTGAGGCCAGACACGCCATTTGGCATGGTTGGGAAGTGCTCCTATTTCATCCGTTGGTTTTTGGAACAGAGTTGCTCAATCAGACATTTCGTTTCGCGGCAGGATCAGCCCGTCACTGCGCAATCAGATGGCACAGATGGGAGAAGGTTTTAATTTTTGCCTTTTGTGCATACGCATAAACGAGGGTGCAGTTTTTTCCACATGCGCTTTCCAACTTCCGAAATTCAATTCTCTTCTTTGACCACTCACCTATCCTTCAAAGGAGCACTGTGATCCCCTTGGTTCACAGTGAACTTTGGTTGTCTGAAAAAGATCACTCCCTTTCCTGCTCGCTTTTAAAGCTGGCCTAGAGATGGGGATGATTATGCAGTTATGCGCATATCGCTAAGTGAGGGAAAAAATGGTGCCCAGTCAGGATGGAATGAGCAAACCATCCTGACAGCCTGACAGCATGCTTGAGTCATCAGACTAGGGAAACTCCATCCATGGCCAATCGGCGAGCGTTAGGACCAGAGTTTCCCAGGTGTCTTTTTACTCCATTTCAGGGGTGGACCAGGACAGGGTGCCAACGACTGCTGAACCTCTCACAGATGGTGCAGTCCAAATGTGCACTTGAGTTCCGTCAGACATCAGTTTCGAAGTCGGATCTAAAGGCATGTCTGATCGCAGCCTAAGAACAACATACTGGTCTATTACAAGAAGAGTCCTCTCTGTGCAATATATTATTTATTAAGTCTTTCAGTGTTGCCAACTCCAGATGGGGAAATTCTTGGAGCTTTGTGTATGGGGGCTGGGGAGGGCGGGGTTCAAGAAGGGGAAGAACCTCATCAGGGTATATAATGCCACAGAGTCTACCCTCCAAAGCAGCCATTTTCTCCAGGACAGGGTGCCGACGACCAGTGTTCCCTCTAAGCTGAGTTAGTCTGAGCTAGCTCACAGTTTTTTAGCCTTTGGCTCACACATTTTTGTCTTAGCTCAGGAAGGAGGGCTCCAGAGCAAACTAATTTATGCAGTAGCTGAATTACTCACTCACAACTTTAATGCCACTAGCTCACAAAGTAGAAATTTTGCTCACAAGACTCCACAGCTTAGAGGGAACATTGCACAACCCAATCCACAAGCACCTATTTGTTTTTTCTTCATTCTTGCACTTTAGATTTAGAACTGATCCCTGTCGTCTGGGTATAAATTATAATCCCAGGAGATCTCTAGGTCCTACCTGGAGTTGGCAACCTTACTTTTACAGAGAACCATCAGTGTGGTTAATGCTTTACTAAATAACATCAAGACCAGAGTCCATACCACAGGGAGGCAACCATCTACAAATACTGCACTGTGATTTTTAAAACCAAAGACAGGCTGGTAAGAGCAAGATGAGCAGAATATTTTGAAATCTTGGAGTGAACTGCACATTAACTTTAAAATCCTTTGACGCATACCCATCATTATATTCACTGCTGTTAGTGGAACATTGGCGCTATAAATATTCCAGTCTTTATTTTAAACAAACATTTGTTGGCTTCATATATTATTTACTTACAGTGATAATTTATGTGCTTTTTTATATAGAAAAAAAGCACATTGTGTGGAAAAAATGCCATTTGTTTCAGCCAAACCAAAATATCACTTGGCCCAACCATTTAAAGTTTCCTGGCTATTCCTTTGGCCTAAACAATGTAAATCCTCCTCAGTCTGGAAGAATTCAATTTCTGAAAAGCAAACACTAGCTTTTTTAAGTACTTCTTTAACAAAAACCTAACAAACATATCAATAGTTTCAGGAAAGATGACAGATTAACACAATCAAAAATAAAAGGTTGCAAACTGGCCTCTATGAAACATTAAAGAACTTAAAATGGACATTGTTTGACTTTGAAAGTTAACACCCTGTTCTGTTCTCCCAGACATTGTGATAACATATGGACTCCAGGAAAAGGTAAGGAAGGAAATAAGAAAAAAAAAACCCAACAAGTAGGGGGTCAGCAAGGACTTGCTGAGGACATCTTGTTCCTCTACTACTTCCTCTTTTCCTTTCCTGAAAGCCCCCATAACCATCCCTTTGTCCCATCAACCAGCCAACTTACTCTTATCTTCCCCTCTGTCTTCAGCTTTCCTTCCTTCCCTTACTCTGGCACCTTCTCCCTGGGGAGAATCTAGCTGGGTTGCATGGTGCCAGTCACTGGTCTGTGCCAGATGCAGTTGAGTTGAACCCACAACAACTTGTGGTAGGTACCTCACTTTTCCTTATATCCCCCCATACACTATTTCCTCCTAACAGCCCCCACATCGCTCACTCACAACTTTAATGCCAGTAGCTCACAAAGTAGAATTTTTGCTCACAAGACTTCACAGCTTAGAGGGAGCATTGGTACTGACTACTTTATAGATGAAAATTTATTGTAAACTTTCCCATCAAGCTCTGCAGATTCAGTGTAACAGAGGCCATGCGATTCACTGCTCGAAAGAAGTAAGAAGTCAGCCTACCAAGGAAGGGAACATTAAAGTGTAGTCCATACTTCAGTTTTAAAACAAGAGATGCCACAAGGGAAGACTACTCTGCAAGGAACATCTTTGCAGTTCATCTTTGAACTGAAAGCTCCAGTCTCAGGGAGCTGGTTTTGCTTACTCAGTGGGAAAGCAAAGGTATATTCTTGCACATACATAATTCAGCCTGTTAAGACTTGGACTAATATTTCTGTGGGGGCATGGATTTCTCTCTTGATAGCATGGTTTTCCCAGCTTTCCCTCTCGCACCCCAGCCCCAAATGATGGATTTTTCAGGCTGTCATGGGACGGGGGAGGCAGGGAAATTGTCTTCTCCAGGTTCTTCTGCCTACAAAAATGTTAGTTTGGGCTAAACTACATATTGCAAGTCTACAATCAGTCATCAAATACGTAGCCAAGGGCTACATATTTACTGTACATTCTTCTAGATTAATTGGAAGAGCCAAACTGAACCTATTTTTAATTGGTATTTTTATAACAGAAACATGAATTATAAAAACACCATATTTTTATTCTGCTTTTTGGCTAGAAGACACAAGAATCAAAATCTAGTGCAAGTGACAAAGCGTAATACAAAATACTCCTTGGGGAAAATGTTCTTAGCAAGGGGACATCAGAAGGAGTGAGTTACCAACCACAGTTGCATCCAATAAGATGGAAGGCCCTGCATCAGTGCTTACCTTGGTTAGCTTTTAGACCAGGCTGGATGCTTGCTTCATGCCGACAATTAGCACCAAATATACTGCGCCATTGTTGACATCAGCCAGAGGAGGAAGTGTGAAAATTCAGGGGGTGTGAGGAGAAGGGACTACAGGAGCATACAGTATGCTTCCAATTTCCTGTTCAAAAGATGGCGAGTGTTACATGCGAGACAGACCAACAGTGAAACAGGACACATTTATCTGTGATAACTACAATTTCAGTTACTTACAACCACAAAGTGATGGTTTTCCAATTTAATGATGTCTCCAGCTCTTTCATCCATTTTTCATTCTGCAACCTATAGAGAAAGGGAAAAAAGTATACATTATGTATTTTAATGTTTTGCCACAGATGACAACATCAGTAATACATTTATTCGTTGAAATCAGTAGTAGACAACATCAGTAATACATTTATTTGTTGAAATCAGTAGTAGTAGTCTTTCCGGCTATGGCGGCACGAATGGCGGTCGCTCTCTCAGCCCACACATGGATTGGGGGGTGTCCGCACAAGATGTTCCATTTGAAATTCGTATGAAGCGGAAAGCTTATAAATTCTTGCAAAACCATCAAATCAATTATATATGGTTGATTCCAGAAGGACGTCTTCAAATTTGAAGAGAAAAGAGAGAAGATTGACTCCATTTTCAAAGCTCAAGACTTTTTGAAGAGACATGCCAGTTCAGAGGAAGAAGCAGAGCTCGCAAAATGGGAGGTATTGAGCGGAGAAGAAGACAGCGGCTCGGAGAGGGAGGACAAGAAACCGGAAGAAGAAGGAGCAGCTAAAGGTCCATCTTATAATTTGAGAGATGTAAAAGGAAAAAACCCCAAGACTTGAAGATTTGTTCGGAGAGCACATTAAAGGACTGTATTAACCCAAAAGGACACTACTAAAACTATTAATTTTTTTTTGTTATTTACAGGTCAAGATGAAGGACGATCAGTCAAACACAGAAGAAGCTGAAGAATTTATTGTTACTAACAAAAGACTAACTTACTAATTAAGATACCACTCACCACTTTTCTTAATCCCGCTATATACCCTCCCCCTTTCTGAAAATTTTAAAGCAATAAAATTGTCTCCTCTTTAGGAGAGTTAACTATAAAAAAGAAAAAAGAAAGAAATCAGTAGTAGTAGTCAGTTTATTCGGTATATCACCAGCCCAATTACAAACAATACAAAAGGGTACCAATAATATATATAAAACATTTAAATATAAAACTGCGTTTGATCTGCATATGTTAATTACAAAATTACTAAAACTCTAAAGTTCTACAATACTCTATCAACTGTTATTCAACTGTTGAATAAATATTATAGAGGTTATACAATTCTACTCTCTATCTCCTTAGTCTTCTGGATTCTTTCATCGTTGAAATCAAAGTCTTCCGAGTCAGACATGGTAACCCAGACTTATTAAAAATAGAACTTAAGAAATTAAATATACAGATCGCAAAGAAAAAAACAAACAAAATATTTTATTGCTCCCTTTTGTCATCTCCCATGTCTAATATCAGATTGCAAACTTCTCAGGGCAGAAATTCTTGTACTCTGTAAAGGGCGATGCACATTGATGACACTATATAAATAATAACTGTTGGTCCTGGGTTATGAGTGTCAAGTGCTTTGCCCAGTTTGTTTATTTATCTAAAACATTTTAAGCCACCATTCCACTCAATTTAGGGTCTTCAAGGAAGAGCCATAGAAATATTAAGCATTATGACTAAATCATTTGGTTCAATATGCAAGTTAGACAAAGAACGTCTCAAGAAATCAAGAGATGCAGCCTAAGATATTATGTATTCATTTAAAATATTTGCTGGCCAATCTCTGCATAAAAACACCCAGCATAATCAAAAGAGGACATCAAACAGCTAAAACATAAGAATATGATATGCATCATTCCCTTTAGTGTATATCTACTCAGGTACTTCAATAGACCTCAGATTGTGCACCAATCTTCTGAAGAGAGTAAAAGGAAAGCAAAAAAGGGAAGAAACTTTTTTTAGCTTTTTTTTTTTTTTTGCTAATCTATTTGTTTTACATAGTGGAAAACAATTTAAATATTTAGCTGTGAAAAATGCCCTATACTACCATGTAACTATGTTGTTTATCTCACACTTTTGAAGGTCTTCTTTTCTTTAATAGCAGTCCAAGTACATGCTGTTCTGGAAAGCATCCAGCTGCAGCATTTTCATCTACAGCCGGTATACCATGAGCCTGGCATACCTCGTCTCTTCTGCATTTTATTCTCACTTGGAGGAGAAACCTGCATCTGTTGCAGTAAACTCCACCTAGCTCCTAGGGTTGTTGGGGTTTTTTTACTCCCCTCATTTTTAAAAAAATCTGAAGAGTCTTGAAAGTAAGTCTTTCCAGCAATGATAGATTGCATGGTTTGTTACTGATAGGGTCACTAAAGTTTTTAAAACAAGCCTATCAATTGGGGGGGGGTAACAGGTGAACCTACTGGAGGTGCTGCAGTTCTCAGGGCATTCACATGGTGGCCTTAGGCTTACCAACCTCCAGGGGGAGCCTGGAGTTCTCCCAGAATTACAACTGTTCTCCAGACTACAGAGATCAGTTCCACTAAAATGGCAGCCTCAGAGAATAGACTCTATGGCATTCTGTCCCTACTGAGTTCCCTCCCCAAACCGCAGCCTCCCCAGAATACCATACCCCATACTTCTTGGCTTGGTTAGATCCCCCCCCATTCTGCTTCACGATAAATCCCATGGCATGATTCAGTGGAGGTCTCACCGTGCAGTGGATTCACCAGTAATTAGTGTTGGACTAGGCCCAGGGAGACTTGGGTCTGTACTGGATAGCTTCGGAAGGCAAGATTGCACTATGACCACCATCACACAGTGTGTTCATCCATTACAGTGGGAACTGGGGGGCAGGGGGAAACAGGACAGCCTGAACATAAACTATGATAGGATTTAATGGTTACATTTCTTTTGTCATGCTCCTTGAGGCCAAATCAAGTGCACAGATGACTAATCAGGAGTGAGTGAGCCCCAGAAACTATTCACAAAGATCACTGCCTTCAAAAGAAGAAAGTTATTGATGATATTAGGTGCCTACCCACCAGCACACAATCCCTCTTGGGTAACCCAGCAGTTCTCTTTTGTGTATGTTTTGCAGCTGCACAAATCACAATGTTACTTGGTGCGCAGCATACTTAAACATTCTGTTCTCTCTTCGCCCTCTCTAGCCCAAGATGATTAGATAAAGAACTCACTTGAGGTTTCTGAATGGCTAATCTAAGATAGCCTTGTGCATTGGTACCAGGGTTGGCCAGGCTATTCTCTTCTGTAGGGAGTAGTATTGCTTTGTAATGGTATTTATAAGGCCCTGCGATCTTAAAAAAAAAAAAAAAAACATAGAAAAGAGCAAGAGTCCAGGATCACCTTAAAGACTAACAAAATTTGTATAAGGGTTAAACCATGAAAAACTCCTACCTGCCACAAATTTTGTCAGTCTTTAAGGTGCTCCTGGCCTCTTGCTCTTTTCTACTGCAACAGACAGACTAACCATGGCTACCCATCTTTAAAAAACATATACAGTGATGGGAGAGTACCCTACGAACATCACAGTCACCAGTGTTCTAGCAATTGTTCTGACATGTTAGGTTAAAAAAAAAATTACTCCCTAGACTATGCTGGTACACTACATCCCACAACTGTCTTCTCGTCACATAAAAAGCAAACTGGGCCACAGTTACACTTAGAAAGCTTCCAGCAGTTGTTTTCAGGCAGTTTGAAAGCCTTCACACATCATGGAGCTGCTAATCCAGATTTGTGACTATGTTTACACTTGATAGGCTTCAGCAGTTAATTCTGGATGTCCAACAAGTACTCTAGCAATCATGAACCCAAGAATTTCTCATCTGTGCATGACACAAAATTCACACAACGAAAGAGAATGAGTCACCACAGCCATACACAAATTATTTTTAAAGGTCTGTGCTTGTTATAGCTGTAGAATGTTAACACTACATTTATGATCTTAAGTCCTATTTCAAACAAATTAAATTTCAAACAATCACTGGCTCCTTTATTGCTAAACATTCTATTTGAAACAATCTAAAAATAAAGAATTCCATTTAAAGAAAGATCATCTTCAGTGCTGTGAACAACCATCCTTTGCATCGAAGTCCTTGCCCCCACAGTCGGAATAACGAGACGGATAACAGTTTGGATCAAACAAGGGCCACTTTATTAACTATATACAGTTTATTAACAAAACCCGGCAAGGGAGCATTTTCTACGTAGCGGAACAGACAAGGCAGGTGTCAGGCTGACCAGCCTCCTTGTCTAATACGTGGGCGAGCCACCAACCCCGGTCTTGAGCCATTAATCTGGCTTGCGACCAGCAGCCCAGCCACTGGTAGCCTCCCAGGAGCGCCTACCCCTGAAACCATACAGCTTGCAGAGAGGAGCTTACCCAAGAGGTTCCCAGAGGGAATCCTCATTCACTGCCAGGGCCTTAATCGCCCGCAGGCCGTTCCTGAAGACCCCCCAGTTCCCAAAACACGGGACGGCTTAAGGTGCTCACCATTTTCCGCTTCCTTATCCCTGCCCTATTCTGCCAAAGTGACCAACCTATTTAACAGCCACGCCCCAACACGTTGTTCCACTGCTCCAGTGTAAGGTAGGCGAAAACACTACCACCCCATTGCCAATCATGGGTAATAGTGAAAAATTCCTACCTGGCCCCCTTGGGCAACCAGCCTCAGCCTACACAGCTGTAGAATGTTAACACTACATTTATGATCTTAAGTCCTATTTCAAACAAATTAAATTTCAAACAATCACTGGCTCCTTTATTGCTAAACATTCTATTTGAAACAATCTAAAAATAAAGAATTCCATTTAAAGAAAGATCATCTTCAGTGCTGTGAACAACCATCCTTTGCATCGAGGTCCTTCTCTCAAAGCATATATGAACAATAACAAACAGACTAACTGAATGTCTTCCTGGTCCACCGCTATATAGACAAACTATAGAAAGCTACCTTTAAGAGCCCGGCAGAGAGGCACAGTTATCATCAGAGCCATTGACCTGATAGGGTGAACACAAAATCATCCTTATAAAGTTTACTGCATTAGAGCAATGGTGTTGCCAGCCACGTGGTGTTTCTCAGGATTCTGCATACTCAGGCTGCGGTCACATGGAACATTAGCCACGCTAGAGAGCCGGAAGATAGGCGGATTTTCCAGGCGCAATCTCACCGCCACATCTGAGAAGCGTAGAGCTCCCGTGGCTCACCCGAGGCTTCCTGCCGAAGATGCGGGGTAAAAAACTAGTACCTCGCAGGGCTCTTTTTGTAGCAGGGACTCCTTTGCATATTAGGCAACACACCCCTAATGTAGCCAATCCTCCAAGAGTTTACAGTAGCCCCTGTAAGAAGAGCTCTGTAAGCCCTTGGAGGATTGGCTACATTAGGGGTGTGTCACCTAACATGCAAAGGAGTCCCTGCTACAAAAAGAGCCCTGCTAGTTTCCGGTAACCGCGGGGCAAGGGCAGGCGTCTGATCGCATTTCTGGTGGCATCCGGCGCCCGCCCATGTCCCCTTGCAAAAAGGTTTTTTCCCCCCAAGTCTCCATGGATGCGCACAAGCACCCAACGAAGCATGCGCATACTTTGGTGTACAAAAAACCCCACAAACCCGTTTGCCACATCGCGCTGCTTCTTTGCCACGCAGCAGGATTGTCCTATGATCGGCACCTCCCCCTACCCACGGGACCTCCACAGGACCTCCACGGGAGGTCTGATAGCGCAACCGCACGTTATTTAGCCCCGGGGCAAACTTCCGATCCAAACAGAAAGAACAAGATGGCAGTCTTCCTGTCTTGGACCCTATTTATCTGCTTCAACCAGGGCAAGAGCTTTTTCGACCCTTGCCCCCAAACTGGCAGAACATGCTCCACCTGAGATCAGGGCCCCACGGGACCTATTGCAGTTCCACGGGGCCTCTAAAATGGAGCTTTTCCACCAGGCTTTTGATTGAGGTGGTGGATGTTCAGCCATTTTGGCCTCCCCTGTTTATGGCTCCTTTCTCAGTGCCTGCTGTCAAATAATATTATTGGGCACTGGAGCACATATATTCACCTGATATGAGGCATGGGGTTTGATGATATTTTCTTATCGTGCCACTGTTTATTGCTTTTATTGTTTTATGGAGTGCGTGTTGTAAGCTGCCCTGAGCCCATTTGTGTGATAGGGCAGTGTATAAATGGAATAAATAAATAAATATTAATAATATATTGGATCTAATTGCAAATATGATGATACCAAAGTTAACGAATCAGGTGCTTTTCATTATTGCTGCTTAGAGGACTTACCTGTGTTGCTAATGAAAACTACATATTGCTGTGGCTTCGATGTCAAGGCATTACCGAGAAGAGCAACAACAAGGGCATCTTTGGTGACAGGTAGGCTAGCTGCTGACTGCCATGTTCATACTCTCTGGGCTCATTCACATCTTGAACGTGTTGCCCTCATTGTTCTGGTGCTCAATAGCACAATGTTCAACATCCAGTTGTGAGAACCTGCTTCCTCTGAACGATGTGTCATGTAACGCATTGGCTGGGGATATGACTGAGCTTGGCCTGTGGTGTTTGATTTGTTTCACATGTATTTGAAAATGTATTTGAAAAAGTGTGCATGCACACGAAAGCTCATACCTTGAATAAACCTTTGTTGGTCTTTAAAGGTGCCACTGGACTCTAAATTTGTTCTATTGTTTCACATATGCAAGCCATAGCTTAATAATGCAAACACTGCGCATCCACTGAACATGTGCGGTCTTGTCATATGTCAACATATACACCTACCCACCAGGGTAAGCCTTCGCTGGATTTCACCCTAGGCAAAATAATTTGGGTAGATCAACAGTCAGTTATAGGGGGGGTTTTTTACCTCTTCTGCTGCTGTGTGACAGGGAACTGCCAGTATGGAAAGTGGGGCATGGGATACATTGGTATGTACAATTGCATCAACTAGCCTAATGCTTATCATTGACTCACTAAGTTTGGCTTAGGGAGGTAGAACTATATTTCTCAAGAATACAAAATTAATAACTCTGAAGTCCCATTAATTTTTTTCTTAAGCAGTTGAGGAAGCTGTGATTTAAAGGAGTGAGTTGCTACCTACAACAAAGAGAACACTACTTTGATGCTTAAATGTCCCATTTCTGGTGTTTGAACAGTCATGTTTACTGGGAATGGATACTGGTAAAAACAGTTGGGTCCAACACACTGGACCATAGCTGCCTCGGTGGCCCATATGAGGGCAGAAAGTAGGGGTAAAAATAAATTTTATAAAAATAAATAAGTAAATAAATGGAAGAGCTGCAAATATACACTTGTTACTTGCCATCGATGAGCACTTTGGCCTGCCTGTTGTTCACCTGGCTGTTGCTCTTGTGATGAAACTGCAAGTGGTGAAACACACACAGGCCCCGGTCACACGGGCCGGATATCGCGGGGGGGGAGGCGTGGCTAATTGCCTCGGCGCAGTTTGTTCCGCGATTATGCGATCAGACGCACCAGCGGCACACCACAGGGCCTTCCCTCGGTGCCGGCGGATAAACGAGGGACCAGAGGGGAATGCCGCGCTCGGGCACAATCACACCACAGGTTTCTGGAGGCAGCCCGTGGCAAACGTTTACTAGTACCTTGGAGGTACTAGTTTGTTAACGCACTTCTTCAGCGGGAAGCCGCGGGTTAGCCACGGGAGCACTACGCTTCCCAGATGTTGCGGTATGATCGCGCCCGGAAAATCCGCCTATCATCCATCTCTTTAGCGCGGCTAATGCTCCATGTGACCAGGGCCACAATTAAGCAATTTGTCCCCAAAGTCTAAAAAGAAAGAATACTCAGAGTGAAAATGAGCTCTACTTATGAATTTCACTTATACTTTTGTATTTTTAAATTTTTTATCCCACCCATCAAGTGGACCAGCTTCCATGGTTCTCCTCTTATAGATCTTAACCTCACAACAGGCCTATGAGGTAGCTTAGGCTGTGAGTAAGGGCATGGGTCAACGTCAGCCAATGAGATTTCAGGTCTTGAGTGGCAATCTGAACACATGACTAGCCTGAAACACAAATCACTACACCCAGCTGGCCTTTCTGGCTCATTTTCTGAACAAGTTTCACTTAGGACTGAAGCCAGCATGAAGAGTTTATTCTGTGCATGGAAGAAGAAGAAGAAGAAGAAGAAGAAGAAGAAGAAGAAGAAGAAGAAGAAGAAGAAGAAGAAGAAGAAGAAGAAGAAGAGTTGGTTTTATACCCTGCCCTTCACTACCCGAAGGAGTCTCAGACCAGGTTACGATCGCCTTCCCTTCCTCTCCCCACAACAGACACCCTGTGAAGTAGGTGGGGCTGAGAGAACTCGGAGAGAGCTGTGACTAGCCCAAGGTCACCCAGCTGGCTGCATGTGGAAGAGTGGGGAATAACACCTTCTTTTAACAGAAGAGCCACTTGTAAGCTGAAGGAAAGCTCCTGAGACTGTAGGAACTTTCTCCAGCCTAAAGTAGAATACCATCCTCTGTGTGTTTGGCCAAGCCATAGATATGCTCACAAAGGACAGCACATCACCAGTAATGACCCAAATTCCCCTGCTCCCCCCCCCATTCCATCAAGACCATTTAGACTTCATTCCCCAAGACTCAACAAGGAACTAGGCGCCAGGAAACACATCAGCAGGAACCACCACTGGGAATCAATGGTTTAAGTGCTGTGAGTGGGCAAACGTTCAGTTCTTTCCTCCGAGCTTTTTGACAGGCTCTCAAGTTTATGCCAGCCAGCACCAGTCCCAATTATTTCCCCACCCATAAAAATGTTTAAAACAATAAAAACAAGTAAATATTTTAAAATTTGCGGATGCAATTGTTCTAAAACAATAAAATCTTGCCACCCACACATGTGCGCGCTGAGCGACATAACAATTCCATGTTAAATGATCAATGGTGGAGAAGAATATTGCTCTCTCATTTTAAAGTCGAGCAATTTAGTTATTGTGCCTTCTATTAATTAGGAATACATTTATCCCCAGAGATAAATGGGCTACCAACAATAATTCAGGTTAGAACCCCCTTTCTACTATAATCATAAAAGATAATAAAACCAGAGATGTAGACACTGCAATGTAACTTTAAGCAAAATTCTTCCAGAACCAACCAGCACGAAGCCACTTTCTGATAAGTACTGAGTCTAGTCCAAGTGGGGACAGAGAGAGGCACCCTTCCCTTGCAGAGATATAAGGGGGAAAGCATATTTTTCTCAAGAGAAGGGGAGATAGACTTACTTTTTTGTTGTTTTGAAAGCTGGGAATTCAGATAACCCACCCCACCTACAGTCACAACAGTATATCAACATAACAGTGTTCTAGTGCTGTTTTTTTTAAAAAAAAATTGTGGAAGTCCCAGTGGCTCAAGGGAGGTGTGATGGCCACTTCTGGGGGGCTGCAGCATGGATATACAGGGAAACCTGCCATGCGAAAGCCCTGTTGCTGCTGCACTTTATCTGTAACTGCATCAGCAATGGGGGAACCACAAACCCCTGTCCCCCTGAGGAAGGCACCGAAGTAAAAAAAAGAAAGAGTAGCTCAAGGTCATCCAATGAATGAATGAATGAATGAATGAATAAAAAAGGAAAGAGTAGCTCAAGGTCATCCAATGAGCTTTATGGCTGAATGGGGATCTGAACCCGAGTCTTTCTGGTATGACGTCAACATGACACCTGCTCTTTGATGGGAGGTGAAGAAGGGAGATCCGAAGCACTCATTCAGCTTACGATGCACGTGAAACCCCGGCCATCAGAGGAAGGCTACAAACTTGGCTGAGCAGAGTGACGGGATACGAGCACTGGTTTTGCCATCAGTATGGGAACCGATACTAAGTATCAGTTCGAAAGCAGTATTATAAAGGGCATGATTTGCAAAAAGAGTGTGCATTGGGTACATTACAGTGGGAGACTTACATAGTCATCTGTGGCATCCTTGACAGCTGTAATGCTCAGAACCAGCACTAAAGGAACAAAGGTGGTAGACCAAGATAAAGGAGGATATGTCAGGGATCAGCTGAAAAAGAAATTTATGCCTCCATGAAAAAAAAAAATCTTATGGGACAAGAGGGTTTGAAGAGAAAGCGGAAAGAGCACTTGCTGGGGGGAAAAAAACCTTCAAATTTGGAGTCTTTCTGGGATTCATCAGACACTTAGGCTGAGTTCAGATGGGCAGTTTGCCCCGATATAGGCACATGCCAGAAACGTTTCACAAACGGATTAAAGGAGCCGTTCACACAGGGATATCTGTCAGGTGTTCCCCAGCCGTACTCAGCCGTCTTGTAGCGCTTGCCTCCCGAGTGAAAGTGGTACCTGGTGAAAGTGGTAGCAAACCCTGGAGAGCGTGGTCATCCCATGTTCATCCCACACCAACAAAGTGTGAATGCCAAAAGTCGCAATTTGCTTGTGTGCATATGCGCATATGCGCATATCTCCGGATTACCAAAAAGAAAGCCATGCCTTAAAGCCACGCCTCCGCCAGGGGCAGGCCAACAGTGTGAACGCTCCCTTGCACCTCCTCCCCAGTATACTCCCGCATCAGTCGGTGCAGTGTGACCGAGAAAACCAGGAAAAGTTTGTGCCGGATCTTTTTGCCACAACTCCCTCGCACTTCAAACTGCCAGTCTGTCCTCAGCCTTAGCTTCTGCATTGCATGAGAACTCCAAACCAGCAGCATTCTAAGTGGTTACCATATTGTTGGGCCTACTAACATAAATCTTTGCATATTCTACACAGTCACTGAAGAAAACTTGCCCCAAGTTGGCAAAAAAAAAGGTTCACTACAGTATCTGAATGGTTTTTAAAATGTAAAACACATCATTAATGACGAAACTGTGATATTGCCTAGTGAAACCATGAACTAGAGAACAAAAGGGCACTCTTTCTGATGTACCAGGCTGACAAAGACAGAGGTGATGACAAGCCACATTTTCCCCTCTCTTTCATCGAGATTAAATATTACCTGTAAAATCAGGAGGGGGGGGAAGTAGGTATTTGCAACCCGCTGGAACTGCTCTAACAAGTTTATAGGCAGAAAAGTTATTATACTTGGATGTCTGGATGCAATTGTTAGCCGAATTGCTTTATTTACAGCAACTGGCAATTTATAAATGGGTCCTTGCCAACTATACCAAGGTCCTGTTCCCACCAAGGGTTACCAGTAAAAGATTTCGAGGCTGTTGTGGTTAAAATAGATGTCTTTTACTTAAGAATATAAATCTCATACAAACAATACTGATGCACTCACACATTCAATCAAGCCCATTAGAAATACAGTATTAAAATAAGCACTGTTGCATTAGCAGGTGGGGGTGATGATGGGCAATACTTATCTGTCCTGCAGCTTGGTTGTTCCAATGAAGAATGGATGGGAAGAAATAGAAAACAAAGGGATCCACACTACCAGAACTAGCTGGCCTGTGCGGGGGTCTCTTGACTGCAGATCAAGAGATCAAAGTAGAGGCAAGGGTTGGGGATAGCAAGTGGAAGTCAAGGGGAGTAAAAAGCAGACAGGTGTTGTTGCGGGGATTGCTAGCTAGGAAGGGCCAGGTGAATGGTCCTTTCCTTTTATAGGGGGTTCAAGAGATGGGTTGTGGCTGTGCCAAATTCTTGACCCACCTACCTGTTAGTCCATCCCAAAAACAATCCTATCGGTTGCATGTAGGAAGGGGTGGTTACCTATAAGGAGTGGCCAATATTGAAATCTAATACCTTACTCAAAGGATGGCATCTGGGCAGGTGTGAAAACCTTGGCGTCAGGATGCTTCATTGTAGTGTTGATGAAGCTGGCCATTCCATTGTAAACCAAATGTTCATTTGGCAGGAAATACCAATGCAGGAACAAAGCAGTTATGGGTAGTACGTGACTACAACTATTTCTGCAATGGGGGCTGTCTCTTCTCAAAGCTGTTGTTTCTCATTGCTCACAATAATGGAGGTGTGTGCTTCTTTCCCAGGCTGGTAACTGTGTAGCTGAAACCTTATTCACGTGTAAGGCTTGTGCAGGCACCTTCTATGTGTTGTATCACAACAGGTGACTTGAAATGTACAGTTCTTTGAGCCTATGTGTGTGTGCACAGTCCATTGTGTGTAACAATAAATATAGTCCATAAAGCAAATATCAATCTCATTCTCTAACACAATTGTTCTAAAACAATAAGAAAAGATTTAGAGCAGGTTAATATGAGGGAACAAAAATATATACATCAAACAGAAAAGCTAGAACAATGGAGTCAGCAGCATAGCGATTCATGGCATGCTGTTTCGTTTATAAAGCTGCTAACTGGGGTAGCCTTGCCAACACACGTAACCAAAGCAATAACCATTGTATTTTATATATTACACACTTTAAATCCAAATAATGTTTTATAATAGAGAAGTTAAAGGCCAATGAAGGCCAGCTGAACCAATTATATTTTAAACTACCTAAATTTTTAATAACTAAAACTTTAACTAGTACAAATCCACACCCTGTGGAACTCATCACATTTCAGGTTCCAACCAGGATGCAGCTGACACTAATAGCCGAGAATGCTGCATTCCTTTTGTTTTTTATTCCCGAGTGTTTCTCAACTCAGGAAAAATCCCCACCATGATTAATGTAAAACTCAATTTAAATTGTTGAATAATACACAAAGAATCCAAATTTGGCAAATTGTACCTGGATCCCATTCATTATTTGGATGTGACTTTTTGATTGTGGTTCCTGATCTGTTATAGATTTCACGGGGTAGATTAATTGTGAGATTCCAGGATTTTTAAAAACGTTTTAACACTTGGGTTAAAGATATTTGTTTCTACTTGTCAGCATCACCTTGTGGGCCCTTTTGTTTCCCAGTCCATTCTGATTTCTTTGGAAGTCTTCTGTCACAATCACGGAAATACACCCAGTTCATAACAACAACTCTTCACTTCTGCTGTCTTGATATGGAATGTACAAAGCTTCTATATTGAACTAGCCTTGCCCCTTCTCTTTCCAGTGTTATGAAACTCTCAATATTTTAATCATTCCTAATTGTTAAGCCCCTTATAATCACAAAGGTAGCAAAACTGGAATAACCATCTCCCACACAGTAGGGGATTCAATATACCCAAGGGTCTTGCTAGTAAACCATTAAAAAACACTTTGTAAATCATCCAAAAGAAAATGAAACCCACCTCCCTGCAAAAATAGCCTGATGAAAACTGAATACATTCCATGTAGTCCAGAATGTTGGTAGCAACTGAGAGTCAGTTAAAGTGAAAAGGGGAGGGGAGAAATTTACCTGTTTAACCCCTTTCCCCCCCAAAAAAAATCTTTGTTGAACCTGGAAGGTGAGATTTGGAGAGGTAAGGAAGATATCTGACTCGTTCCCTCCTCCTGCATTTTCTACCGATCCCCCAGCTGATCCATAAAATAGTGCCAGGAATTAAATGAAACAGCGACATTTCCCATGAGCCAGTAATTCATCTCAGAAAAATAAACTCAAAACCAGTAAAAGCCCTAAAAATATGTACATTTCCCTCTTTTCCTAAATGTCTGAAGAACTGCTCCTTCCTCTCTCTTCTGGAAAGCCACTGTGCAGTATAGAGAACATGCTGTAGCAGAGGAAGAATGACCAGAAGTTGCCATCTGGAAGAATACGGTTGGTACACAGATGTACATTTTGTATACAGGGTGTGGTGGTCCTTCAGATTTATCATGCCTGTCTCTCCACAATTCCAAGGATCTTGAGATAAACCCTTATTTAATGTGGTCAGTTGGGCCAAGCAGTGTTAACTTGTCCAAAGTCATCCAATAAGCTTCCCAGCTGAGCAGGGGATTGAACCTGGGTCCCCCTGGCCTAAGTCCAGCGCTCCACCTCACTGGAGATTGGGAAATTACATTAAAAGACCAGTTGACATATGGGGATTCATGCACCATGTACGCTCTAGAGTTCCATGTAACATTCTGTTATCTTGTGCACGTCTAACACGGACAGCTTTCCTTTGTGTTACTGCTCAAGCCAACGTGAGAGCTTACTATCTGTTCCCGATGAATCCCAAAGTCAGTCTGCAAGACCAGCTACCCATCCAGTTTGCTGATACAGACATTTATTTAAGCTATGGAAGCTTTGCGCTTGCATGAATACAGATGTTCACAAATTAATATCACATTCTTTATTTGCATGTAGTACAAAGGTGAGAAACCTCATCAAGACAGCAATATTAAAGAGGAGTTTGTTTCTTAATGTAGTTAACATTAGCAGGGCTATTTTTGGGCAGGAACGCACAGGAACGGAGTTCCGGCCATGCCCAGCAGGAACTCATTAGCATAGTAGGCCACACCCAACAGCAGAAATCCATTAGGATTGGCTTCATTAGGGGTGTGTGGCCTAACATGCAAAGGAGTTCCTGCTACAAAAAAAGCCCTGGACCGTTTTGACAACAGAATAACAAGCAAAAGGTGGGTGTGGCTGGATAACCACACTTCTGATAACATGGGGGTGCGTCCTAATGTGCTAATGAGCTGTGCTGGCAGGGGTGTGGCCTAATATGCTAATGAGTTTCTGGTGCTGGGTGTGACCTATTATGCTAATGAGTTCCTGCTGGACATTTTCTACAAAAAGAGCCCTGACATTAGGATGGCCGACTGTGAGCTAAGGGACCCCCCTCCCCGCCAAATGAGGTTTCTTGATAAAGATACATACATTTTTCTCTCCACCTCATTCTTCAAGAAGTGTAAAGCAGCTGCTTCTGTGATGCTTCTAGGCACAGACTACACTCTCATCTGCTCAGGCCAAACTACATTTCATGGCAGACCTGAGGCTGCTGCTAAAAGCAACATCCCCATGTCTCATTCGCTGCCCGTTGCTTGCAGTTTCATTTGGTCTGTGACCATAACATCACACTAAATAGCCCAGAAGCGAGCCAGCCACAATACTGCTGCAGGGGTCTCTGGGCTCGGACCTAACCCACTATGGTAGCAATAATCACACCACACAGTGGCAGCATGGGAAAAGGGGACAAGCAACCCTGAGCTGGCTGGGTCCAAGCCAAACAGCCCCTCCTTGAGATGCTGGGATTTGCTTGCCTTGCCTTGGTCACCATAGTAGCAGCTCATGGAGAATGTTCCGGGTAAGTTCAAGGGCCCACCCTCCCCCGCATTCTGGTCAATGTTCCCCCACTTTCCTCCTGCCAGCATGAGCCAATGATGTAGAACAAAGGCGCTTGGGGGGGTCAACAGTGGGACGGCTTCTAATGTCCTGGCCCCACTGGTGGACCTCCTGATGGCACTGGTATTTCTGGCCACTGTGTGATACAGAGTGTTGGACTGGATGGGCCTTTGGCCTGATCCAACATTGGCGTCTCTTATGTTCTTATGTTCTAAAGGTGGGGGAAAATCCATCAATATGATATCACAACAAAAGATAAAAGAAACTTCATGTTATGAGTAGAGATGGGGAAATGTGATTGGAGGTTTCTGTATTTTGTAGTTTGGTACTTGTTTTTATCAAAGGACTAGTGTTCTCAGATAAGATCTGGATCTCTCAATATTATTTTATAAAATAAATCAAGAGTTTTGATTCTGGATGTTGTCATAAGCTACAGCTTGGTGAAGGACTCTCTCGCAAATCTATTTTCAGACACTGGGATCAACGAAGCCACATATATCTATGCCAGTATGGTCAGTTTAAGAAACATATACTTCCTGCATGTCACTGATTTTGTTAACATGCTTGAGGAATTTATGAGATCTGCATATACATGTATGATAGATGTTAGATTATTTTCTTTTACTTCCTTTTTCATTGTAATCCTTTTTAGGAGAAGTGTTGTCTTCTAGTGGTAGCAGGAGAAATTCTATGTACATTACATGCTTTTTACAGTGTTTTGGAAGAAAAAGTAAAGCGTAATGAATTAGTCTCAGAGAGATCCTCAATTTGTCCTTGAAGGAGTCCAGGCAAATCAGAGCTTTGTTAGATATATTTTGTTTAAAATGCAGTCTGCACTGGAGTTATGGCAGAAAGAGGGAAGAGTAACTGAAGCCAGAAATGATTTCAAGTGGATTTTCGAGACACCAGTCTGAAAAATAATCATTTTTCATGTGTAATTTTAGTTACACATAGTGATGAACGCCTAGCTTAATTTGGTATCAACTCAGCATTTACAATGTCTCTTAAGGGGTGTTCCTACAAAGCTTTTCAGTTTCCCAACAGTCTCTACCAGGTGACCCAGGGCCAATCCCAGGTTCTGGAGGACCTTCCTATGCCCACTACCAGGACCCCCTTCCCACCCACTTGCCCACATACCCCTCACCTGCCTGGGCATGTTCCTCAACCCACTTGCAAGCTTTTCCACTACCTCAGACCTGGTAGCAACCCCACTTTAGGGAATGCTGATGTCGGTTCTCCTCCCAGCTCAAAAAATTGGTACAGGCATGCCAATGGTACTGTGAGCATGTGTCATCATGTTGCTCCCTGGGAGCCCTGCTCTGGTTTCATGTGTCCTGACCCCATCCCATAGTACCAGCCGGGATGGGGTGATTAATAAATCTAAACAACAACAACTCCTGCATATGAACTTGCAAAACAGATAGTTTGGGGTTCTTGGTTTGCCGAATGCACATGCACAGTATAACACTGCAAGCTACAGAAGAACTTTTGGGGGAAATGGTGCTCAGTTTGTAATACAGTTGAGCTTTACAAGCTGAACAAATTTCTGCAATGAACCAGGTAATTATGCATTTTGGCACTGTGACTGGTTATGGGGGGGAAATTAGTCTCCTGAGACTAGAACGATAATGCTCTCCATAAATACAAAAGATTGAAAATGATGCTCCTGGCTGATTTAGTTTATCTATGTTGACTTGAAGAACTTGTTTTCAATTTCAGTGATCTAAGTAGAAGTGATCACAAGAGAAACGTAATACAATCAATTGCATTTGAAATGAGTGATAGAACACTTGACACAAGTGCAAAGTGGCCAAATGCAAAGTGATGCACATTGGGGCCAAAAATCCTAACTATAAATACACGTTGATGGGGTCTGAACTGGTGGAGACTGACCAAGAAAGAGATCTTGGAGTCATAGTAGATAACTCACTGAAAATGTCAAGACAGTGTGCGACTGCAATAAAAAAGGCCAACGCTCTTCAAGAAATTTGGAGAAATCAAGGGAGCGTTCCATGCAAAGCTGGCCATGATAAAGGATAAAAACGGTAGGGACCTAACAGAAGCAGAAGAGATTAGGAAAAGATGGCAAGAATACACAGAAGAACTATACAAGAAAGACCTCGATGTCCTTGACAACCACGACGGTATAATCACTGACCTCGAGCCATACATCCTGGAATGTGAAGTTAAATGGGCCTTAGAAAGCATTACTAACAACAAAGCTAGTGGAGGTGATGGTATCCCAGCTGAGATATTCAAAGTCTTAAAAGATGATGCTGTTAAAGTGCTGCACGCAATTTGCCAGCAAATTTGGAAAACGCAACAGTGGCCACAGGATTGGAAAAGGTCAGTATACATTCCAATCCCAAAGAAGGGCAATGCCAAGGAATGTTCAAACTATCGCACAATTGCACTCATATCACACGCTAGCAAGGTCATGCTCAAGATCCTACAAGCTAGGCTTCAACAGTACATGGATAGAGAACTGCCAGAAGTACAAGCTGGGTTTCGAAGAGGTAGAGGAACGAGAGATCATATTGCCAACATTCGCTGGATTATGGAGAAAGCAAGAGAGTACCAGAAAAATATCTACTTCTGCTTCATTGACTATGCTAAAGCCTTTGACTGTGTGGATCACAACAAACTATGGCAGGTCCTTAAAGAGATGGGAGTACCAGACCACCTCACATGTCTCTTGAGAAACCTGTATAAGGGCCAAGAAGCGACAGTTAGAACCGGATACGGAACAACTGATTGGTTCAGCATAGGAAAAGGAGTACGACAAGGATGTATACTGTCACCTTGCTTATTTAATATATATGCAGAGTACATCATGCGAAATGCTGGCCTGGATGAATCACAAGCGGGAATTAAGATTGCTGGGGAAAAGATCAACAACCTCAGATATGCAGATGATACCACTCTAATGGCTGAAAGTGAAAAGGATCTAAAGAGCCTCTTGCTCAGAGTAAAAGAGGAGAGCGCAAAAGTGGGCTTGAAGCTCAACATCAAAAAAACTAAGATCATGGCATCCGGCCCCATCACTCCTTGGCAAATAGAAGGGGAAGTCGTGGAAGTAGTGACAGACTTCACGTTCCTGGGATCCCAGATCACCGCAGACTGTGACTGCAGCCATGAAATTAAAAGACGCCTGCTCCTTGGGAGGAAAGCGATGGCGAACCTAAACAGCATGATAAAAAGTAGAGACATCACCCTGCCAACAAAAGTCCGCATGGTCAAAGCAATGGTATTCCCAGTAGTCATGTATGGCTGCGAGAGCTGGACTATAAGGAAGGCCGAGCGCCGAAGAATAGATTCTTTTGAACTATGGTGCTGGAGAAGACTCTTGAGAGTCCCTTGGACTGCAAGAAGAACAAATCAGTCAATCCTCAAAGAAATCAACCCTGACTGTTCCCTGGAAGGCCAGATAATGAAACTGAAGCTCAAATACTTTGGCCACCAAATGAGAAGGGAGCACTCAACAAAAGAACTAAGATCATGGCATCCGGCCCCATCACTCCTTGGCAAATAGAAGGGGAAGTCGTGGAAGTAGTGACAGACTTCACGTTCCTGGGATCCCAGATCACCCCAGACTGTGACAGCAGCCATGAAATTAAAAGACGCCTGCTCCTTGGGAGGAAAGCGATGGCGAACCTAAACAGCATGATAAAAAGTAGATACATCACCCTGCCAACAAAAGTCCGCATGGTCAAAGCAATGGTATTCCCAGTAGTCATGTATGGCTGCGAGAGTTGGACTATAAGGAAGGCTGAGCGCCGAAGAATAGATTCTTTTGAACTATGGTGCTGGAGAAGACTCTTGAGAGTCCCTTGGACTGCAAGAAGATCAAATCAGTCAATCCTAAAAGAAATCAACCCTGACTGTTCCCTGGAAGGCCAGATAATGAAACTGAAGCTCAAATACTTTGGCCACCAAATGAGAAGGGAGCAGTCACTGGAGAAGACCCTGATGCTGGGAAAGATTGAAGGTAAAAGAAGACGGGGACGGCAAAGGTTGAGATGGTTAGACAGTGTCATTGATGCAACGAACATGAAGTTGAGCAAACTTCAGAGGACGGAGGAAGACTGGAAGGCCTGGCGTGATCTGGTCCATGGGGTCGCAAAGATTCGGACTCGACTGTGCGACTGAACAACAACAACAACAAATAGATAGTAACTCTCATATGGGGGAAGTGATGCTCTGTATTCTTGGTGCTGGGGGGGGAGAGTGGGAGGGCTTCTAGTGTCCTGGCCCCACTGGTTGACCTCCTGATGGCACCTGGTATTTTTGACCATTGTGTGATAGAGTGTTGGACTGGATGGGCCATTGGCCTGATCCAACATTGGCTTCTCTTATGTTCTTATGTTCTTAACAAAATCCATTGATCACATCTGTGTGACAGAGTGACAGAGTGTTGGACTGTGTGACAGAGTGTTGGACTGGATGGGCCATTGGCCTGATCCAACATTGGCTTCTCTTATGTTCTTATGTTCTTAACATAATCCATTGATCACATAATGTAAGAAATCTTAAAAATCATAAAGATGACTACTTAAGAAAGATGGTTTGCTACAGAGGGAACCAGGGAACTTGGGAGATTTAACTTTCTTTCCTAAATCCTCAATTAGCATTTGATCAATTTAGTTGCCATACCACCCTACTCAGCTATAAAAAGTCATATCTAAAATTTTACATAGTTTATTTATTTTTTATTTTATTTTTGTATTTATACCCCGCCCTCTTCGCGATTTATTTTGGCTTTCCTGGTTCTGGGGAGGGGCAAGAACCTGTAGTGAATCTTTCCCCCAGTCAAATGAAGCTCTTATTCAGCCACCTGTCTGGTTTCTCTAAGCATAAAACAAATTAAGGAGGGGGGCAAACCCTACCAAAACAAGGACAACTGGGATCTTGTGAGACTGTGGACCAAACTACATGATACACCTAACACATGTCAAATCATGGATGTACAACCAGATCCACAGTCAGACATATATCACAGGAAGTCTCCTAAAGGGTTTCATGGCGACTTACAGCTTTAAAATAAGTTCAACACAAAACAAAAACAGATAACGAATATACACACACACAAAACAAAAGCAGCTAATGAATATAAAATATTAACATTAAAATGTTAAACTATTAAATATTAACATTAAAAAGTTAAACAACCTATTGGGACTGGGAGGGGGAAGAATGAGTTTCCTGTTTCCCTCCAACTTCCTTTTGCCAGTGGAAAGGGCACCACTGCAGGGCGGGAGGGAAACCCAAAGCTCCTCCCAGCCCCTCCCAGTGCCCCCTCATGGCACCAGGTGAAGGAGTGCTTTTTAAGGTGAGTTTTTCTTATGCACATCTGACCATGATTCTGATGATTGAGCATCTGTGACTTGACGCATGTCAGGCATATTGTTTAGTTTGGCCCTGTGTCTTGTCAGGCATTTCCTGGTTGCTAAGCAAGTTTGAACACCAAGAGAGAACAGGAGAAAAAGCAACAGAGACAGGAAAGCAGAAAGAAAAGTATCAAGGAGAGCAAAAACGGGGGCCATCAAGGGGAGAATGAAAGAGCAGAAGCAAAGGGGGGCAGTAGTGGGGCGATGGTGGGAGAAGTGCAAGAAGTACAAATAACTTGGAGAGGGCAGAAGTGGGGTTTCCCCTGCCCCACAAGTCCTCAGCCCTGTGCTTGGCCACCTCCACCCCAGATTTGGATGTAAATTTGAAAGTCTTCAGTTTCTGAGCTGTGGGTGGAGGAGAAGGAGAGAAGAGGAAAGGTCGCCCTTCCACAGCTCGTTCCTATAACAAAGCAACCACCATTTATCTCACCAAGCTTTGCTACTATGTCTGAATGCAACTAATGTACATGAAGCAATCTGAACATTCCAGAGAGGTGCAATATGTGGTTAAAGCTTATTATTGTTATTCATCTCGAACTGGGCACAATCCAGGAAAACGACCATTGGTTACTCACCGTGAAGGGTCCTTCTCCTCTGAGGCTTGGAGGACATCTTGTGGGTGATTCCCAACCATCTCTTAGGGAGGCAGGAACTTCAAACTGTTTCCTGTTTCCTGTGTTGGGAGTCGCCCTCAACTCAGTTTTGTGACTCCGAAAGCAGTATGAAAGCTAAACAGTGATAATAAAACTCAAATAACAGTGTTAACCAAACAGATCTGAACTGTATAGAGAAAAAAATATGTAATACGAGGTAAGAAAGAAATATATACATAATAAGAAGCTTATGACGACCCGGGAGGGCCAAGATGTCCTCCAAGCCTCAGAGGAGAAGGACCCTTCACGGTGAGTAACCAATGGTCGTTCTCCCTCTGAGGTGGAGGCCATCTTGTGGGACCTCCCCGAGCAGTGTCCCTAAGTTTGGGAGGGATGGTCGTCATGTAGAGACAGGATAGATTGTAAAACCCGTCTCCCAAAAGCTGCATCGGCAGAATCAAACACGTTTATTTTATAATGCTTGATAAAAGTAGACAATGAGGACCAGGTAGCAGCCCTACAAACTTCCTCAACTGAGGCCCTGTTGGCAAATGCGGCATTAGCTGCTGTACTTCTCAGAGAATGGGCGGTAATGCCAGCTGGCACCTGTTGGTTCATGGCTTTGTACGCTTCTGCAATGCAATTTCTGATTGTGTTGCTAATAGCGGAATTTGACATCTTCCTCCCCGTGTGCGGAGGAGAGATGTTGATGAACATAGCCTCTGTCTTTCTGAACGCGGCCGTTCGAGTAAGGTAACACTTCAGCATTCTCTGGACATCTAGAGTATGCCAAATCTTTTCTTATGTATGTTTCAGAT